AGGATAAGAAGCTGCCTCTTCGCTTCTTGGCCGTCCCGTTGTCCCTTTGTCCATCGCACCAACATATCATATGTGGCTTGCTTTCTGTTTCGAAACCTGTAGTACTCTATATTATCCAGCTGATGTATGTTGAACCCCAGAGCCACACCCAAGTCATAGTATTGGTCCACTGTAATTTCTTCAGCGATATTGTTAAGTCCAATATCTGATAGGTCAAGTTGTGGCAGTTCCTCGTCTTGTCTGTGTATTTAATTAATAGATTAATAATTTTTCCTGGTTTTGACAAACTTAGACAAAAGACAAAAATAACATCAACACACATATGTTAAAAGTGAATCCATCAGCACTGTATAAATACTGTATGAATAAATCACTGAAAACATAACCCCTAAACCAACTGTCAACGTCTCACGAACCAATAGAGCAAAAATTCTTAAAGATAAAGTTGAGTTCTAAAAACGGTGTGGAATCAATCAGAAAAGGTTGATCATCTAGCATATAAGTATTGGTGTGTGCTGCAAGGTTCTGGAAGCATCAAAATGATGAGATATTTGGCCCAATTTGGTAAAGTTACTAGCACTTTACACAGAAGGATGTATATGCGACTACACGAACATGTTGCATAAAAGTTTGTCCCAATTTGTATGCTGTTACATAATGACATATTTAGAATATAAAGGCATTTGGGGAACCTTGCTTTTCAAGAAACATGCTTTATCTGATGCTCTTCCACATTTGCATAATAACAATGCTAACGCTCACACATAAGTGTCACCTCTTCCCAGAACTCAACCTTATCTCTAAATAGAATATACTAATTACCATTTAAATATCAAAATTCATTAATAGATGATAGAAAATTGATAGTATTCCTAAAATAGTTCAAAGTCACACTTGCCCTGATTTTAGGGTTGAAGATCATTAAAAATTTACTGATCAGTTCACATGCGTAACAAACTTATGGATGTTTCTTTCCTTGGGGCTGGGGAGCGTTAGTGACGAGTTATTCCATTAACCCGTTACCTGTTATTAACTACAATACTTGACATCTAGTCTGTTATGTCCAGCAAGCCTCGGGTAAGCTTCAGGCAAGTTGTTAAGTACAGTCATATGTTTATAAGTCAGCAAAAAAATTGAATATGTTAGTAAACCAGTCTTTTATTTAAAAGAGGGACGAAGACGTGCATAGAACTGCTCGCAGAATCACAAGCTTTAAATCCATGCATGGGCAATAAGATGGCTGCCGTTTTGCATCGATGGCTCTGGTTGCACAATAGAGGGCAATAGTCATGATAGTCAGTCATTATGCAACACCACCGTTTCTATGCAGGTTAATAGAACATTTATGTTCTACTCTGACATTACTATTACGAGCAAGATGGCGACTCCCTTGTGGGAATCGCTAGAAAGAAAAATGCGAACTTTGAGAGATTGTTTTCCTCGCTGAGAAATTAAATAGGAGTAATTTCAGGGTTTTTGTGGCTGACAGTTTTGAATACAAATGAAAGGTAATGTTTGTTAGGTTTTGTTTCCTTTAACTTTCTAAGAATTACATACAAATCTATTCACTTACCTAACAAATTGTGAGTCGGTTGGAATCGGACTTGTTGGTTCATCTGTTAAAAGGGGGAAATTGTGCATATTTACATAATCAAACTAAACTGAGGAAAAGTATTTATGTATAAAATAGCGAAGGTTTTTAGTTATCTTAAAATGAGCCATACTTTGATAGCGGAACAGCTTATTTGCTGTGAGACACTTTTGACAACTGTTATCACACGTACATTATAACATTAAAATGTCTCATACAAAAGTGCAAGAGACATATAATGATAAGAGGATGATTTTCAAATTGTGCTAGGCGAGCGGCAGATTTGGACAAAACTATTTAATTTTAATAGCTTATATATATATATATATACACCAAGCTTCTAGCTTTCATATGAGTGCAATGAGTCTTGTTTTACATCCTGGAATATATAAGTGAAGGTAAATTTTTAATGTGTTAAACCTATTCTCTATCACATCATGTGATCTATTTCATGTTTTTACTCGATCTTGCAATGTCATTTTGTTAATGCCTAGGTCACATATACACCGGGCCCCGTACGATTTGCCCTACCCGGCGGTGGGCCTTGGATTTTAGAGACCGTACTGGACCCTTCGGATTTATATTTCTACAGCATGTGTGGTCACATATTCTGCGGCGCCCGGGAGATGTCCGGTGAAAATTGGTCGAGTGAATATGCAAGGCGCCCGTATGGATGCCGGTCGGGTGCTGACCGGTAAGCTTACTGGCTCCGTCCTATGAACAGATGCACCCCTTGGCTCCCGGGGCCCGGCCGAGCTCCTCAAGGCGACCGGTAGGGTACCGTACGGTGCACTGAACTATGTGTCCTCTGACATCAACGCCTCCATTGAGAATTGATAGAAAAAATCGTGAGGGGCCCGTTTGGGCCCCACGGGCCCTTTACGGCCTTTTTATGGCCTAACGGTCAAATGAAAAACGCTGGGAGAATTCGGAGCAGCCAACTCAGCACCATGGCGCCCGTACGGTTAGTGAAAATGTCCCGGCGCCCGTAAGAACTGAACGGGAGCCGGGCGGGCATCATTCGAAAATTCCCAAATATCTGTTTTTACACGCCCTCCGTATGGGCCCCGAAGTGTAAATGTGAAAGCCCCATTATAGGAAGGTTCGAAATATGTCAGTCTTTAATGCCTAGGTCACACTTGCTCTACGGCAAGGATAGGGCGGCCGTACGCCCCCGAAAGCGAGAGATACTTGCGGCGGCGGCCTCAGGGTCACCCTCTCGTATCCCTATCTTTACAGGCCTTATGGGTCGCCGTGGGATTATAAACGTTTTCATTTATAGGTTCGCAGTAGCGATTTGACACGCCGTAGCCATGCCGTAGAACGATTCCACTGCGCCTTGCGGGCACCTTGCGGCTACCTTGCGCTACGGCCGCCGCAGAGATGCTCTTGGGCGACCGGGCGTCTTCACTTCAAAGGCCGTGTTTTCTGTCTCCACAAATTCAAAATACGCCGTGCGGCTACCCTAACATATGTGACCGCTACCGTATGAGATCGTGGGTATGTTGCGGCAGTCCTATAATTGCTAATAGATATTGTAGACCGCACGGCCAACGCAGCAAATGTGACCAAGGCATTAATGATACCATGATCAAGCCATCCTTGGTAACATAATTGAGAATCAAACCTTTGAACTGTTTAAATATTGTAATTACTGTTGTTTTATCGTACATACACATTGCAGTTCGGTCTTCAGACGTCGAGAATGGAATCAACTCAATAAAAGCCAACAATTAATGTAAGCAAACCTCTAATTGAGCAATCAGTGAAATGTCGTCATGAGGCAAACAACGTGCGTTTCACTCATTATTAATATATACATATGATCAAAGTCCGTAAATTCAAAACTACTATCAATGTGCTAAGTATCACTATTGTAAAATAAGTTTTACTTACCTCTGTATCTAATGAAAAATGAGAGTGAACGAGACAATTCAGGATTCCCGACCTGTGAGACTGTGATGGTAATCAATTGGAATTCTAAACCTTCCTCGCTCTGCATCACTGGGAGGAGTACGCTGTGTCTTATTTGACCTCGAATATCCGCCAAACAGATGGACTTCTATAAAATAAAAAAAAGAATAAGAAAAAAGAAGTAAGAACACGGGGGAGATATCATTCATCTGAGGTGATTGGTCTGTTAGTTTAACAGAGTCTGCTAGAATATTATCAAAATGAGTATGTGATAGTTAATTCCTCAAAACTTTGCTCAACATCAAAGAATTATTGTTGTCTATTCATTATTCGACGCCAAAATTTAAACGTCAAAATCTCTCTTAATATGATATTATAAACAGCAAAATGTATACCTCATTCGTACCTCAAGAAGTCGTATGTTGACATATGAGCCTAAATAGTATTAGTTTGTATTTCTAAAACCGTTGTTTGAGCTGTGCGATAAGAAAGAATGTACTTTTTCAGAGACGTCGTATTTTTTAAATAAAAAAGTGAAACCAGGATCTCTGCCGTGTAAATGTGTTGAGTAAAGAAACCTAGGGGAACATTTGTCGAACAGACTCAAGCAAATACCTAAAGTCCTCTAACATAATCACAAGGAACAAGTAAACATATAGAAATGGAATACCTCGTTTACAACCACCTTATCCTCTCGTTTACACGACACGGTGATGTCACTAGATTGGAGAAAGACATTAAACGGCACCGAACGATGGGTTTTACGATATGCCCTCTGTCTCTCTTCCTCGTTTATTTCCTTTTGGGTAGATTGAGCATGAAATGAACGAAGATCAAAAGTAAAACAAAAACCAAACAGAGATAAATCCGTAAGAAACATACACATGAAGGCAAATCGAGCGAACGAAAGGACAAAGTTACGTATTCAGCGTTTTAGATAAGAATATTCATAACGAATTACTTGCGCATGTCTTTCGTCTTGCAATTAGATTTGTTTGTTTGTCATTAAACTTCCGTCGTTGAGAGTTGGTCTCTCCAAAACCGTGATTAGCACATTTGAAAGGTATTAAAGATATATCTCGTTCTTCATTTTTCCAGTTGTAAATAGCATAACAGCATTCGAATTATACGTTGAACTCAATTTAAGGGAGGGGGGCAAGGAGCAATTTTGAATTGTTTACCCTTTCAAAGACCACTTCAGCATGAAATTGTGTAACCAACCGATGACCATTATTCATCTGCAGCTTTCAAAAGTGAGTGTTTTTTTTTTACAGTAATCAGAGGGATCGTTTTCTTTTCAGGGAAAAAATTAAGTCAAATGAATTCGATCTTTTGCTTACCGTTTCAATCCAAGGATTGTCAGCATGAACATGAAGTCGAATATCAATTTCCTGGCCTCGTCCAATGAATTCTGGTACGTATGGAGTGCAGACTACTTGTTGCCGATCTAACTGTTGTTTGAGCGGAATGAAGACCCACCATTCAGCGCATTGGTTTACGTAGAGGTCGAGAAACCCCCTGTGCACCCTGCAGTACGGCGGATCTTCTTTCGAAGTCCATGGCATTCTCCTAGCTCCTTGTTGCAGACCTATTAGAGATTTTTCATTTCAGCAGGAAAAATAATGATGAAACATCCTTACTTATCTGTAAATTGAGAAGAATGATGGCATCTTTTTGTCTTTGTTAACGCCTTTCTACTCTTTTATTACCCACCGGTTCATAAATTATTAAAAAAAGACATTTATAAATCTTCATATTAAGCTTTCCTATTTGGAAAATCCACTATGTAGATTATCCACAAGATAGATAATTAAAATGAAGGTGCAGGAAAAACAATGTTGGATCATACTTAGGCCTACTTACACAATGACTAATAACAAGTTGGGAAGAACAACGAGGTTTAACCCTTATTTTTCGACTATACGATTCATAATGCCATTTTACTCAACATGTTATTACTTATAGCAGTGCAGGCGCGTACACAGGGGGGGGGGGGTGTTTGGGGGGTTAAACCCCCGCCCCCCTTTGGTATTTTTATGTGTGTAAACCCCCCCCCCCCCCAACACCCCCTAACCCCCCCCCCCTTTGGAATTTTTTTTTTTTTTTTAATTATTAAAAAAAAATATTCCCATGGCTGACCTAAAAAGGTGACCTTACCCCCCCCCCCCCCCCAAGGAAAGCGAAATGTCAAATTTTCAAATTTCGAGACCAAAAAAAAAAGTGTCCTCTTACCACCCCCCCCCCCCTCCCCCTCCCCCTCCCCCCACTTATTCAGCGGCTGGCTGAGTCGATTTATAAATGTTAACCCCCCCCCCCTTGAAAAAAATCCTGCGTACGCGCCTGTAGCAGTGTCTTGGTGATAATAGAAAGACATTCAGGAATCTTAATATTGATCTACCTGTGTGCCGAATAGAAGCAATTTCTGGTTTTACTTCTTTGGAGTCAATATATTTGATAGAGTGTGGTATGGTGATCTTGACTGGCTGCTTGAAGGTGAGATCAGGAGGGTCAAATCGTATACCGCAGCATGCCACCGATTCATCATCCCCTATGGTCATGCTCGGACGATCTAGTAGAACTGCTACCGTTATCTTAAACGACTCAGGTTCCTGAAAGGTGCCCGCTGGAAAAGAGATTGATATCCCTTGGTCTTCCAACTCCACCTGCTTAGGACCTCTGCCGACTTCAATGATGACTTGGCGTGAAGAAGTTTTTACCTCTGGAACAATAAGGAAATAGACCAAAAAGTATTTAGAATCGTAATAACAACACACAGGTCTACCGTTATAAAGCTCATCCAATAAACCCCTAAATGTTCAGAATCATGTCTTTTTCATCCATCAACATTTCTTTATACATGCGCGATTCTTACCAAAACATGAACAATACCAAAGGCCAGTCCTATATAGTGATTTTTTGCACGGAAGATCATGTATGCAAAACATGACTGTATTAAAGGGAGTATAGCTTGGCAACAACTGGTTAACGCCATCTACGTCTTCTTTTGGACAACTGTACGTAAACAAATGAACTTGATTAACGGTAATCGTTTCCAGTGCACTAAGGTTAGTCAGTGCGATATCGATAATGCACTTGCCCTGCGGACGCGTGCATTATCGCCTATGTGCACTGACTACTAACTTCGTGCACTGGCCCTGCCCTAACACAGACGATAATGTGTATAATAAGCAATAATGCAATCGATCAACCATCGCGATACCGCTCTACCTTAAAAATGTATACCACATACATCAATTACGCGTACGATGTCAACAAATATGGCGAGGTCTGACCGCGGCCACGGCAGTTACCAGCCTTTCGCATAGTTCACAGCCCTGAAATAAGTTACAATTGGAACGACTTTCAGCTCCAACTCCGGGCGTTTTTCTCCGCTCATTCTACGCTGAGCCTGAGAGATCGATCAGAGCGGAGACCGACCGATTAGAAGCCTGCTCGGTGGCCGCTGGAATTTAGACATCGCCCAGCGATTTTTTGGAGAAGTCGGTCACCGAGCGTAGTCTGTGCGGCGAGTGAAAGTGAGCAGGCGCCGCCCGAGTTTTAACTCCGCGCTAAAACTTTAGCAGCGACCAACCGATCCCTTAAAACAAGCGGTGCCTGGTCGGCCGCCGCTCGGTGGCCGGGCAAAATTGGCTAAAAACTCGCCGCTCGGCCGCCGAGCAGGCTACTTTTGGGTAATGTGACCATAGCTTTAGTGACGGCGTGTACGTTGCATGCCAAGCCCGGAAGTCAAGCGCTAGTGGATATTGCTCAGCTACACTTTCATGTCTGTAAGGTGAAAATCTACTATATCAAGAGTAAGTCTAGATCCGACTGAGATATGAAATCATGAGATGAATGTAAATATGTTTCACTGACTGTTGAGGTATTGACATTTTGCCCTGAGATGAACAGATGGAAGTTGCTGTTTCCGAATTTTACAAACACTGCCCATGCTCCAAACAAAGTTGTATTTGTCTTCTGTTTGTTCTTTGGATATTTTAACAGGAGTTGTAATGTTCTACGTGGCATGCTCCGAATCTGGTGAACTCACTTCTTTTAGCATGCACATCAATTAGACCTTTAAAAGTAATAATGAAAGTAATAAATGGAGTCTATCCTATTTCATATGATAACATGCATTGCCGTTCATCAGTTACACATGTACAAATCTCCAAATTAAGAATAAATTTAGTCAAGTGCTATTCAACCTCGCCCTGCGGTCTCGGTGAAATGTAACAGCACTCGGGGAAATTCTTAGCTTGTCGTTTCGTAAACCATGTTATATTAAACTTCGGAGCATGCAATATCTACAAGGCACATGTCTTTATATTACATGTGCTACATTGTAAAATTTAATTTGAAATTAACTTGCTCTTACCGCGGTAACTCCTTATTGTCTCCATCGACGGTAACCTGTAATAAAGAAAACATGCATTTGTTAAGTTATTAGCTGTCACACGCTCCCATCATCTTGTCATTATATTTTTCTTTATGATTACTTTGTCCTGCTTAGCAGTACAAGGAGTAAAGGCCCGCTTTTAATTCCTCCGGATAAATAACTGCATTAATACAAGACATACAAAACGGTAAAACAATTGCAATGAAGAGAAAGATTCAAAATACAGGTAGGTCGCACGTTAGGAAAATGTAATTTTTAGCGTTGTGCGATTCTTTTTATAGATAGAAAGCTCAGCGATACAATACGGAAATGTTAGTGGTGTTCTAACCTTGATACTGCAAGAATTGGTATTCTATATTAGAGGGCATATGAAAACAATCATAAATTTTGCATGATGCATTTCTTAACATATTTAGAAAAGAGTTATATGACACATTAAACTTGTTTTGATATAGACACCGAAATTGTAATCTTTTCAAGATTATCCAAACCATCCTGGAACTTAGCAATATCTCAAATAAACTGAAAAACAATTAACCTCGAAAATATCATCTGTCGGATCTCTTCGTCTCGGGCAAACTGAATCGGAAGGTTGCCATCGTTGTCCCGCATATCAGGTTTAGCGCCATTTTCCAACAGGTAGAACACCAGTGCCCTTTTTGCTGATAGCCTATTACGGTAGAAGTCTGCGGATATCTGTTAGAGGCATCGATCAATAAATAATTTAAAGGGAAAGTTCTGAAATTATTGATCCTCAGGTAGCATCACAAATTTTTTTTTAATTTGTGTTGAAAAACATTCAACTTCTCATTAATTTGCAGCAAAAAGTTGTCAAAATTATGAAAACAGAAAAATAGTACAATTGGTATTTACATCTTTATCCATATAAGGTTCCGAGTGGAACAAATAATAAGTGTATTTAATAACTTTAGCGCAGTACCGGGACGACAGATCAATATTGTTTTCATATTGCTCTGTCATCCGGGAACTTCAACTGTCAATACAATATTGCACTATTTTTGTTTAGCTCAACGGGGGGAGGGGGGATGAACACTCCTTTTTTCCCCCTCAACATCCACCCCCTCGCTATGCCAATGCACAACTATAAACATTTACCCTCTTATACAAATTTATTAAAATAATGTTTGTGTTGACAGAAAACAAACACAAAACAATAAACACTCAAATAAAGATTAAGTCATGCATAAAAAATAATATGCATATGTATACCAAGTGAGGTGGAATGACGATAAGTTTAAAGAACCGATTTGTCTGACAGCGTGCTAACCTCCAGCTGTTAACATGATTAATAACCGTGGTACCTTTTTGAGTGTCTCTGTAAGTTCCACATCTCTATCCTCTCTGTAGCAGAGCTTGATGGCATAATGCAGGCACGTCTGACCATCGCGGGACTGGATGTTGATGTCTGACCCATGGGATATCAACGTCTCAATCACCGAGGTGTAGCCACGATGTATTGCGTGGTGAATAGCGGCAAAACCGTCCGGATCACGTTGATTGACGTTATTCTTTTTTTAACATAGATAAAGGAAACATTAATTTCTTGTATATGTTGTTAAAAAACAGGCAGATTCCAATAAACGTGAAAACACAATTGGACGGCATTCATCATTTTGAATAGTTCGCGTATGCTACTAAGCTCATGTCCTGAGATTATTTAGAAAGATCTGTCAGCATGAGCAAATCTTGCTGCGTAGATACATATCATCCATAACAAAAGGGGAAAACGATGACTTGCAGGAAATAGAGAACTAAGGGTGAACAGGGGATCCTCTAACTGTCAAAGTAAAGTTGATTGATATTACTTATACTATATAGAAGGTACTTCGCTAACTCTGCGTATGGTGGATCAATATTTCAATTTTACATTATGTAATTTACACAAAATAAAGGTTTCACTTCAAATCAATAACGTGAAATATGAGAATAATAAATCATTGCTTCTCTCAGAACTTACATCGATGGAATTAGTTTAATACTTCATATTTAAGTAAGCAGGATATATTTGTACACACCTTCGAGCAAGATGTCACAGAATCAGGAATGTTTGAGTTGTTTTGATAGGGCAGTTGATCCCGAGGTGTGTCTCCATTGCTATTCAAGGCATTCATATTGCTCCCCTTTGACAGTAGGTATACATATACATCTAGGCAGCCTTTTTTGAAGGCATGGTGCAAGGCAGTACAGTTGTCCTTATCTACCTGATTTACGTCAGCTCCTTGGCTGATGAGGTAATTTGTAACCCCAAGATGGCCATTTGCTGCGGCAGCGTGCAGTGCGTTCAAACCATTTATATCGCCAATATTTACAGCAGCTCCCTGAGTGATGAGATATTTGGCGACATTCAAGTGACCATTACTTACGGCACCAATTAAGGCGGTCGATTTATCATGACTAGCCATATCAACCAAAGCCCCTTCCTTGACCAAGTATTTTGTGACTTCAAGATGACCATTCCATGCAGCAATATGTAAGGCATCTGAACCATTGTTATCGCACTTAGTGACTTGAACTCCTTCGCTGATTAGGTACTCCGTAAGAGCGCAATGGCCATTCTCTACTGTACTGTGTAATGCGTTCGAACCATTCTTGGTGCAGATATTCACATTAGCTCCTTTACTGACTAGATATTCTGCAACATTAAGATGACCATTCCGCGCAGCATAATGTAGAGCAGTTCGCCCTTCAAGATCCCCTCGATTCACGTTTGCGCCATTGCTGATAAGACATGATGTAACATCAAGATGGCCATTTTCTGAAGCAATGTGTAAAGCATCTGAGCCGTCCTTGTTACCCTTATTCACCTCTGCTCCTTTGCTGATAAGATATTCAGTGATATCATGATGACCATTCATTGCCGCGCTGTGTAGAGGAGCCCATCCATCATTATCAGCACAATTTACTGCAACCCCTTTATCGATAAGATATTTTGTCATATTGAGATGACCGTTTTTACTCGCATTGTGTAGAACAGTCATGTTGTCATCATTTCTGACATTGATATCTCCTCCCTTCTTGATGAGATATTCCAGAATAGTAACATGACCACTGCCTGCGGCACTATGCATGGCGGTTTGGCCTTGACAATTTCCCACGCTTATCGATGCTCCTTTATTGATCAAACATTCTATGACCTTGATGTGGCCGTTCTGTGCAGCCCTATGTAATGCAGTCCAACCTTCGTTGTTTCCCATATTTACGCCAGCCCCTTGAATAATGAGTTCTTTGGTTACTTCCAAAAGACCCTTATCTGCAGCTTCATGTAAGGCGGTCCAACCTTCTTTGTTGCCCTTATTCACATCTTTTCCTTCGCTAATCAGGTGTGCGATAACCTCAAGATTGCCAGGCTTTTGTGCCGCTGTATGTAGGGGAATCCATCCATCCTTATCACCCTTATTCACCAGAGCTCCTTGACTGATGAGATATTTTGCAACAAGCAGATGTTTATTACTTGCAGCACTGTGTAAGGCACTCCAGCCATCATCACTGATTTTGTTCACGTCAGCTCCATGTTTTATCAGACATTTGGTTACCTCAAGATGACCGTTCTGTGAAGCGATGTGTAAGGACGTCCAACCACTGTTATCGCCTTTATTAACCTCTGCTCCTTTACTGATGAGGTATTCAATGGCATCAACGTGGCCATTCCATGCAGCACTTCGTAATGCAGTGCGACCATTACTGTCACACACATCAACGTTAGCACTATTGGTGATTAGATATTTGATGACGCGAACGTGGCCATTCAATGCAGCGATGTGTAATGCAGTTTTACCATCCTTGTCACATTCAGGTATCTGGGCCCCTTGACTAACTAAATATGCAGTTACTTCTAAGTGATTATTTGCAGCAGCACCATGTAACGTTGTCCATCCACTACTGTCGCCTTTATTGATTTCGGCTCCGTGGCTAATCAGAAACTTGATAACATTCAGGTGACCATTGACCGAGGCAACGTGCAGTGGAGTGTCTCCATTCTTGTCTTCTGGATTAGCATCGCTTCCATGACTGATTAGAAACTTCATTGCTTCTACGTGACCCTTTTCTGCAGCGCTGTGTAAGGCACTCCTACCCTTGTCATTTTGCTCGCTTATGTTTGCTTTCTGATCTACGAGATATTTGGTGTTCGCAACATGACCATTTCCCGCTGCGTAGTGTAAAGCCGTATTTCCATCGTCGTCACCCTTATTTACGTCAGCGCCACGGCTCAGCAGAAATTGTATTACCTCAGAATGGTTATTCTCCGCAGCAACATGTAGCGGGGTCCAGCCATTACTATCACTTTTATTCACATCAGCTCCATTGTCTACCAGATATTTGATTATACCAATGTGGCCCTTCCAAGTAGCACTGCGTAAGGCAGTCCTACCACCATTATTGGTCTTGTCTACATCAGCTCCACGATCTATCAGACATTTGACGACATCAAGATGGTTCTGCCATGCAGCACCATGTAAAGCGGTCCGCCCATCGTTGTTTCCCTTGTTCACGTCAGCTCCTTTACCGATTAACAGTTCGATTACTTGAAGATGGCCATTCCATGCTGCACTGCGTAAGGGAGTCCTCCCTTCGTTATTTCCCTTATCCACGTCGGCTCCACTTCTAAGCAGGTATTCGGTTACCGGACAGTGATCATTCTGTGAAGAAACATTCAAGGGAGTCCATCCACTGTTGTCCGATTTATTTACATCTGCTTCTTGACTAATTAAAAATCTTGAGACACCTATATGTCCATTTTCAGCTGCACAATTTAAGGGAGTTCTGCCATCGTTGCCACAGCTATCCACGTGAGCTCCTTGGCTAGTCAGATATCTAGAGACATCAAGGCGACCATTATGTGCAGCTGTATGCAGTGCAGTCCAACCTTTATCGTCTCTCATATTTACCTCAGCTCCTTGACTGATGATACATTTGATGACATCAAGATGGCCATCTTTTGCAGCAATGTGTGCAGCAGTCAGGCCATCCTTATCACGTTTGGTCTTGTCGGCTCCATTACGAAGTAAGCATTTTGTGATTTCAAGATGACCCCTTCTTGCAGCTATATGTAATGCAGTGGAACTGTCCTTATTGGTGGTGTTCACCTCGTCTCCTTCACTGATCAAAACTCTGGTGACTGCAAGATGACCATTTTCTACAGCATTGTGAAGTGGGGTCTGGCCATCATTATTGACTTTGTTCAGCTTTGCTCCGTTGGCAATGAGGTATTTGGTGACATCAAGGTGATCATTACCTGATGCGCAATGTAAGGCAGTCATGCTTTGCTTATTGGCAATATTTACGTCAGCTCCATGACTTAAGAGACATTTTATGACCTCGAAAAAACCCCTGTCGGCAGCTGTTTGCAGTGGGGTCTGTCCTTCATTATTACCCTCATTCACCTCAGCTCCTCGACTGATTATATATTTCGCTATGTCAAGATGACCATTCTTTGTAGCAATATGTAATGCATTTTCACCCTCGTTATCACTCTTCTTCAAATTAGCCCCACGGTCAATAAGGTTTTGGGTGAGCTCAAGATGGTTATTCAACGCAGACAAGTGCAATGCAGTTGTACCATTGTTGTTGTCCTTGGTCACATCAGCTCCCTGATCGAGTAGATATTTCGCTATGTCAAGATGACCGTTCTTTGTAGCAATATGTAATGCATTTTCACCCTCATTATCGCTCTTATTCAAATTAGCCCCACGGTCAATAAGGTTTTGGGTGAGCTCAAGATGGTTATTTAACGCAGACAAGTGCAATGCAGTTGTACCATTGTTGTTGTCCTTGGCCACATCAGCTCCCTGATTGATTAGGTATTCGGCAATGTGTAGATGATTTCTCTGTAATGCAATTGTTAGTGGCGTCCAACCATGACCATCGCTCCTATTCATATCAGCTCCTTGAGTGACCAGATACTTTGCTACCTCCAGGTGGCCATGCCATGCAGCACTTCTTAAGGCGGTCCTTCCATCGCTGTTGACCTTAGTTACGTCGGCTCCTTGACCAACCAGAAATTTGACGACATCCAAATGACCATTCCAAGCAGCAGCGTGTAATGCAGTTCTGTCGTCATTGTTTCCCTTATTTACATCGGCACCATGAGTGATAAGGCATTTGATGACTTGAAGATGACCATTCCAAGCAGCACTTCGTAAGGCAGTCCTGCCAACATTGTTTCCTTTGTTAACGTCAGCTCCCTGTGTGATGAGATATTTGACGACATCGAAATGACCATTTTGTGACGAGAGATTTAGGGCAGCCCATCCATCTTCATCTCTCATGTCAACTTTCCCTCCTTCCTTCATTAAGTGCTTGGTGACAGGTAGTTGCCCATTCAATGCTGCCATGTGCAAGGCTGTCCTTTTCTCTTTGTTGTACTTATTGACCATAGCTCCATTATCGGTAAGAGTTCTGGCAACTTCCAGATGACCCTTCTCGGCTGCAATGTGTAAAGCAGTGAAGCCGTTGTCTAGGCCCTTTTGTGCATCGGCTCCTCGAGAAATCAAATATTCTACAAGACGAGCATGTCCATTTTCTGCAGCAACATGCAACGCGGTAGAACCGTTACTAGCGCTACTATCTACATCAACTCCTTCACCGACTAAATACTCGGTAATCCCAAGATGCCCATTCAACGCAGCGAAGTATAATGCATTTGTTCCAATGTTCTTTCTCGTATTCTCATCGGCTCTTGTATTGATTAGATATTCGGCAACATGTGGATGATTTCTCTGCAATGCAATTGTTAGTGGTGTCCAACCATCACTATCTTTACTATGTATATCAGCCCCATGAGTGATCAGACATTTTACTACATCCAGGTGGCCATGCCATGCAGCACTTCTTAAGGCAGTCCTTCCATCGTCAGTAACCTTGTTCACCTCTGCTCCATGAGTAATCAGACATTTTGCAACATCTAAATGGCCATTCCAGGCAGCAGCATGTAAAGCAGTCCTTCCGTCATTCCGTCCTTTATTCACATCAGCACCATGACTGATTAAGCATTTAGTGACCTGGAGATGGCCATTCCACGCAGCGTTCCGTAATGCAGTCCTTCCGACATTATTACCCTTATTCACATCAGCTCCTTGCGTAATGAGATATTCAATTATCTTTAAATGCCCATTTAATGCTGCAGTGAGAAAGGGTGTGTCTTCGTTGTGATTTCCTTTGTTCAGATCACCTCCATTGGTCTTCAAGTATTTGATGACATTAAGATGGCCATATTCTGCAGCAATGTTTATTGGCGTCCAGCCTTCATTTGTACCTTTGTTAACGTCAGCTCCCTGACTGATTAGAGACTTGGTGATATCAAGGTAACCTTTCTCTGCACTCTTGTGCAAAGCAGTCCATCCATCTGTGTTACATTCATTCACGTCATCTCCGTGACTTATTAGGTACTCGGTGACAGCAACGTGGCCACCCACTGTAGCAAGGTATAACGCAGTACAGCCATCATTATTGGTCGTCCTGACGTTAGCACCTTCATCTATAAGACATTTGGTTGCACCAACATGTCCAGTTTGAGCAGCAACATGCAACGGCGTAGTTCCACTATTATCGCGCTTGTTCACATCAGCCCCATGGCTTATGAGACATTCTGTAACGCAAAGATGACCATTCTGCAAAGCAGTGTGCAGGGCGGTCAAACCGTCTTTGTCGACCTTGTTAAGTTTAGCCCCTTTGTTGATTAGGAATTGGGCGACGTCCATGTGGCCATTCTGCGCAGCAATATGTAAGGCAGTCCATCCATCCTTATCGCCTTCATTCACATCAGCTCCTTGGTTGATTAAAAAGCTAATGACATCAACATGCCCATTCCACGTGGCACTCGTCAAGGGACTCCAACCTTCATTATCGCAGCTTTTGAAATCAGCCCCTTGGTTAACAAGATAGCTTACGACATCAAGATGGCCATTCCATGCAGCAGTGCGAGAACATGTTCTACCACTGTTGTTGCATTGATTTACATCAACACCTTGTCTGGTTAGGTGTTTGATGATATCGATATGACCCTTCTCTGCAGCAATGTGTAAAGCAGTACAACCGTCTGCGTCGCACTTATTGACATCAGCTCCTCTGTCGAGCAGATATTCAAGTACACCAAGATGACCGCTCTCTGAAGCATGGTGTAAAGCAGTTTTTCCATCAATGGTATCCTTATCTACTTCAGCTCCTTGACCAATGACATATTGAACGATATCAATTTCGCCACTTCTTGCAGCAATGTGCAAAGCGGTCATACCATCTTTACTACCAATGTTCACATTAGCTCCATGACTAATCAGAAATTTCATCAAATGAAGTTGGCAGTTGAGTGTCGCACGGTGGAAAGCAGTGTAGCCATCAATATTGTCTTTGTTCACTTCAGCTCCTTTATTGATCAGGCAATTGACAACATCGAGATCACCACTTTCTGCCGCAATGTAGATCGGTGTCAGCCCGTGACTATCCCTTGCATTTACATCAGCTCCATCGTTTAATAATGCTTCTACGTTTGCAATATCTCCGTCTGCTACGGCTCTATGGAGGATATCCATCTTTCCTTCACACGCGTCTAATAATGTGATAACCAACTACTATACGCCCCTGCGTATGTACCACAGCTAACAGCTGTCTCCAAACCCAGACTCTTGACTGAAATACAACGCCTTAATTTACTGTTACTATTTCTAAACCTTCGTTTGCAATACCCAGGTCTCGCCATTGACAAATGTATCTATATTTCACAACCGGAGTGAGAAGAAAAAAACGACGATGTTATGCTGATCGCAGAGTAAAAAGTTCTAGCGCAGTTGGCGGAATGAAAATTGACAACGAAACCAGAGCATTATGTAGCAATGACTATCCAATATCATTAAAAAAATCACAAGTGCTTGCTGGTGGTCAAATGATAAGATAAACAGTTCAGAGTTCCCTCCCAAAAGTAAGTTATATCAATATCAATATCTCCTTTGTGCTAATAAAGGGCGCGTTAATGCGAAGATTAATGTAAACAAGTTACCAAGATTAATTTTGAGTCGTTGATGTTTGTCTTTTTCTTTTTTTTACAAATCTCCCGAGCATGTTTTTCCCCCTTGTTATAAAGGTTTTCCCTCAATTTAAACAACTTTTTTTTCATTCACCTTCACATTTTCGTTCTGTTTCTTAACCAAACGTTATTGTTAAATTCGTATTTGTTCATGCATTTCCTAATGTTTTTCATTCATTTTTAACATGTTTAATCTACTGTCACAACAGAAATATCAAATGTTGCCAAGCTAGGCTGCCAACGTACAATTGCATAGACCAATTCCGTCATTCTGCAATCGCTTTCATCATTCGAATTCGTCATTCGATAAGAAAAATGAAGAGATACAATACAAAAGTCAGAGTTAGTCATTATTGTGCATTAAAATAATGAACAGACAGATTGACCACCCTTGAAACTCTTGTTAAAATAGGGTTAATATTCTAAAAAAAATGATTATGTTAAAAACTTGATTATATAATGTTAAAAATCATTACGGCAAGTCACCTTCAACTATAATATATATATATATATATATATATATATATATATATGTATGTATATATGATCCATAAAGATGCACTACAGAGAAACTGTACCTAATTTTAGTAGTTTCTAATCAAAAAGTTATAAATTATGTGACCTTGAATCATATTTCATCGTAAGGGATAATTAATACCCTGTATAATGATAGCATTTAAAGAATTGTGCTGCCAGGAATGACTGAAGAGCAGGCTTTCCAAAAGCATTGTCAAAATCCACTTGTACCAAGTTTGTGCTGAAGCAATGAATGTTGGTCAAAAGCTATTATGTGTGGTTAATCCCATTCCAAAAACATTTGCTCATTTATTTACAACGACTATTAGGCAGTTGAAAGGAATGTTGTTGATATCAACTCAAAGACAAGGAAATGCTTATTACACACAAAATTTATGACATTCTCTTTGTTATGATAAGTACAATATTGATCCCGTGTTTAAGCCAACCCTCCTTATTGAGTGATTAAACATGGATAAAGTTTATTTGGAATGTTATCTTTTATCATGAAAGTCTGTCGTCAATTTCTTTGCTATTTATCATCATAATGTGCTTTCTTGCATTTGGGTGTAGTAACCTTTGAGTTTTCATTCGCTATTCGAGAAAAACACCTTATGTTCCTTACCCGTGTGAAATGGCGCAGCTGACAAGTGAGCAGAGAGAACTTAGATATCATGAGACGAAAATTTGTTGGGCTGTTCAAAATAATTAAAGGTTATCCTGTGGATTGGAAATAAAGTTCGATGAAAGCCTAGATGCGATGCATCATGTTAATGATGAAGCACGATGCATGATTTTGCTTATAAAAGGATTTAATACCAAAGAAGCACTTACATCTGACCAGACCCACATTCCTTAAGCCTTAAGCCCAAACTTGATACAAGGCGATTTTGACAACACTTTTAAAGACCCTGGTGCTCATTCATCCGCAAGCAGAAATATTATGAATAGGGTATCATTTGACAGAAAATAAATTATTCTTTATCAGGACACCAATTTTAAATTCATATTCCTTATGACTTTTTAATCAAGAGCTACCAAAGTTGGGTACAGTGTTTTGTTATACGTTCTGTATTATACAATGAAATTAAGGTAAAATGGATCGAAAGTCAAGTACACTTTCCTTCCTTCATTTCCTCTCTTGTTTTCTTTTCTTTTTTTCATTTCCAAACATTAAATAAAACGATATCACAAAATGGCATGTGCAGGACGTGGTTGATAATCATGAATGTGAAGACAAATTACAATAAAAGAAACAATTACGTACACATTTCCATAATGTAAAAGAAACTGCATAATTCGATATTTTGTTTGTTTACACGGTAAACACCTCAACAAGACAAGACAAACAAAAATGAAAAGATGTTCAGAATGCAAAGGCCGACTTTGAAGCCAAAGGCGTTCCAAGGGCTGGCAAATTTACAATAAATCGAACCGATGAGATTCGAGGGGAGCTCGCCTCGAATCTCGTCGGTTACAGAACCACAGGGCCTCATAAGTTCTTCCAAAAAGGCCTTCTGAGAATCAGTTACTCGTGGCAGTCCAGATGACTGCTTTAAAGCGCATAATAAATCTCATTTTCAATAGAAAAATACAACGACATTTAGTGGGTATGAGGCTTTGGTGCGGAATATGTCTAACGTACCCACAATCTAATTTGATGGTCGCAAATATAACACTAGTGACTCAAAAGCATCAAACTATATAGTTAGATGATATATTTTCCTTTTTTAAAGACATTTGGAAGTGTGTTCTATTAAAAAAAATTGGCAAATCAATCTCTTTTACATAATTTGGGGCAACTGAAGGGAAACCTCGAAGCTATTCATAACTATCCCTGACAGGTGCACTCTAATTCATGAATAATCTATTGATTTCCAAAAGTTATGAATTGTTTATCTTCTCCATGTTGATTTTCGTAAGGTAATATGTTCATATTTGGCCTTCTTTAGATTTGTGAAGAGTGGCGTTACATGTGCTTATAAACTATCATTGTCTAGCAAGGTCGCGTGGGGGGGGGGCCGAATAGAATTTTATCAATTAGTACAAGCAATTTGACATTAAAGATAAAGTTGAGTTCTGGTCATGCGATTGCATTGTGAAAGAAAAGGTGTGGAATGAATCAGAAAAAAAGTTGATCAGGTAGCATATAAGTATTGGTGTGTACTGCAAGGTTCTGGAGTCATCAAAATCATAATAAATTTGAGCCAGTCTTGGTAAAGTAACAAGCACTGTATATGGGACTACACCAAATTTGGTGTCGGGGCTACTAACCTTGATTTCATTATCTCATTACTCAGCCAGTAAACATTTTCTACCAAAATTGTTTGACAAATGAAATTTATTTGTTTTTCTTGAACATTCAGTGTAACTTTCGTTTGATTCTGTGAGAATTCATTTTGTTTTAACCAGAACTCAAGTTTATCTTTAAGTACCTTGCACTAATTTCATGATTGTTTTTTCAGTTTGATATTTAGCGACAGGGGAGGTGACAGCATATTGACAAAATGGCACCAATGTGTCCAGGAGTATCTTAGTTTCTTCAAGAAATTAATTTACAGTTTAGAGCCAATTTTTAAAAAACTTGGTTAGATGCCAATAAAAAGACAAATGACCGGAGGTTGCAATCCACGTATCACTCAAGGGAAAAAAGTAAACAGAGAATACTTGGGTTATCATTAACTTCAAATAAATACCGTAATTATGATAATGATGGTCATATTTTATGACCTGATAATTTACCTTTGATATCTGATTTCTCCAAACACTTATGTGAAAACTGATAAAAAGACGCTCCCTAATCATTTGTACCCAAATAATATGCCGTCACAATGTGTTTATACGTTGAACAGTGGGTATATACATTTTTAACATCCCCGTTCTCACGGCCATGACCCAGTGAACGTCAACATAATCCAGCTGCGCCTGAATATGTCCCATGTTTTGCTTTCTGGTATGGATATGTTTAACGTGCATGTATTTTTCACTTTCATGTATTTTCTGTGCTTATTCAAAGGCGGATTCAGGCAATTCAAAACATTTTTCGTGCAGTTATTGATTAATATAGATATTCGACATAGGACTTCACGAACACTTCTGTTTAATATTTGACTTGCTTAAAGAAAAAGTTAATCAATGATAACATTAATTTTGGATAACACTGTACAAGAAACTTGATGCGATTGAGCCAGATTGATTAGTTTGTACATAACAATCAAGATATACTATGATATTTAGCATTATATACTATAATGTTTTGGAATCACCAAAACCTAAATCTTTGCTAAAGTTCGAATGCACTCACACAGAAAGGAATGTACGGGACTACACAATCAGCAGGAGGGTTAAGGTTCCTTCTGTCAACTGTTTCTGGTCATATTTCGAATATGGGGGTATTACATTTTGTAGAGCAATGTGTAGGGGATATTTCTATTACGATATCTTTTTTTAAACTGACATACACAAAAATTAGACACCTCACAAATAATTTCTCATCTTTACCAGAACTCATTCTCCTCGTAAACATTCAAACTCTCACAAGGTATTAGGGGAGAGGAAGGAGGGGTGGGAATTTTTGCGTAGCTGGTAAAAGCCTTTCTCAGAATGAACAACCTTTTACAGCAAGCAAATAATAGCTAGTTCCATTAGATGAGACACATCGTTAATTAATAAGTATGTGTATTTAAATTGATATGCCAGGAGATATTTATATAATATTGACTGGCCTTGAGGGGTATATCAGAAATATTGACCAAGCTCAGATCATATTGCCCCGAGTCGAAAGACGAGAGCAATATGGTCTTAGCGCGGTCAATATTTCTGATATCCCCCGAAAGTAAAGCCAGTTAATATTTTTATTGTTATCCAAATCAGACATCTAGAGCAAATACAGAAATCCACCATGACAATCTCAAAGAACTGAACAAACTTTGTCAAACCAGCACTGTGCATCCAGTGCTTGACGAAATTTTCGATACACTGCAAACAGTGTGC